CATGGGCCATGAGACCGAATGCTCTGTCCCGGCGGCGCATCCGCGGCCCGGACGCCGACGGCGCCCGTTGTAGGACGGCGCGCCGCTGCATGCGGTGTCGGCCTGCGCCGACAGGCCGACGGCGGCCCCGACGACCGCGGCCGGCCATGTCAGCGCCGAAAGTTCAGCGTAGACAACCGAGAGACCGCCATGCCCACTGCCAACACGAAACCCCGCCCGGCCGAGACCACGCAGCGCGGCGTGGTGGCGCCCAAGGGCCCGTCGCTGCCCCACGAGCGCGACCAGCAGAACCAGGCCACCCACCCCGATCCCGACCCCGAAATCAAGCGCGCTGCACGCGACCTGAAGCAGGGCCAGGTCGACACCGACTTGCGCGCCACGCCAGGGCTGGACGCCGAACGACGCGGTGATCTGGTTCAGGGTGGCGAGCACGGCGCCGGCGACCGCAAGCCACGCGAGAAGCGCTGAGGGGCGAAGCGCGTCCAACGCGGGGTGAGTGACCGCGCCACCGGCGTTGTGCCGGCTAACCTCGCGGCATGTCCATCCTGCCGCGCCGCTGGCGCCTGCCCTATGTCGCGCTGCTGACCGTCGTCGGCCTGCTGCTGAGCGCATCGGCGCTGCGGGCCTACGAGCTCTACGGCGGCCAGCGGCCGTGGGAACCCTTCCTGTGGGAGTTCAGCTCCATCGCCGTCATCGGCGTGCTGGCGCTGTGCATCCACGCCCTCATCGGCCGGCTGCAGGGGCGGCCCTGGCCACAGCAGCTTGCCGCGCATGCGCTGGCGCTGCCGGTCTTCAGCGTGCTGCACATCGCCGGCATGTTCGGCCTGCGCCTGCTCGTCTACCGCCTCGTCGGCGTGGGCTACCACCCGGACGACGTGCCGACGCTGCTCGTCTTCGAGGGCGGCAAGGACGCGGTCAGCTACATCAGCTTCAGCCTGATCTCCCGTGGCATCTGGATGGCGCAGGCCGCCACGGCGCGCAAGCAGGAACTGGAGCGCGCCCGCCGCGAGCTGGCCGAAATGCGCCTGGCCCGCCTGGCCGATCAGGTGCAGCCGCACTTCCTGTTCAACACACTGAACCTCATCAGCTCGGTCATGTACGAAGACGTGCCCCGCGCCGACCGGCTGCTGTGCCAGCTCGCCGACCTGCTGCGCCAGACGCTGGCCGCCCAGCAGCGCGCCGAGCACACGGTGCGCGAGGAGCTGGCGCTGGTGCAGCCCTTC